CATCAACACATAATCTGGCAGCAAAATTAGTGACAAATTTTCAGTGGAAAAGTGTAAAAAAATGCACATAAGGAAATAACGAAATGCACATTGAAATTTATGCATAAAAGCTATGGGTTTTATTAGCAGAATGACATCGCGTGATCAAACCATTCCAATAGCATGTATCCACATGAAAAAGGAATCTCTCTCTCCCTTTTTGCGGCGCATGAGCCTTTTCAAGTTTCGGGTGATTGAGCTTTCAAATTCATGCTTTTGCCAGTTTTTTTTTGCTTGCATTGCAAATTGAGCAAGCTGCAAATAAAGGAAGCAAATAGGTATTTGAACCACGTGAAAATACTGAACTGCCTGGAATATTAGTACGAATAGGTCTGGGAGGGGAGGCGGTCATATGGCGCGATCACATTAGCATTAGAGTCGCACATACCGCAATTGCCCCATCCTACTGTGGCAGGACAACTCGTCCGAATCACTCAATTATTATATTAGGCTTCAGTAATTGATCGACCTGATAATTTGGGTCTCCAATACCTCGTTGAGTCACAAATATACAAAAAGGGCGGATAGCTTCAGCTGGCCGAATGCCAAGGCTAGAGGAACGGAATAAAATGTATTGCGCGGACGAGTATAGACGCGCAGTACATTTTATTCCGTTCCTCTGGCCTTGGCATTAGGCCAGCTGAAGCTGTTCGCTCTTTTTGTATATTTGTGACTCAACAAGGTATCGGGGACCCAAATCACCAGGTCGATCAATTACTGAAGTCTAATAGTTTAGTGATGCGGACGAGTTGTCCCGCTACAACAGGATGTGCCAAATGCGGCCTGTGCGCTCCAATGCCAATGGGATCGCGCCATTTGACGCACACCCGGTCTGGGAGCAGGTCGGTCCTATCGTTGCTACATTTTGGATTTTTTTACGACCCCCTCCTCCATGGGCGATTTGGTACGACCCCCCTGTGTCTAATTTTTATGAAGACACAATTCATACCAATTTTTTATTCCTTTTATCTCTATCATAAGGTTTCTTTTCACCCTGGAAAAGTATAAAATAATAGAACATTTCAAACTTCACGAGATCAGGACTAATAAAAGTGAAGTACATCCTTCACGAGATCAGGACTAAACAAAATGCGCAAGCTTAGTCCCAGAGACGTTTCTACAGAGTGTCCCCTCCCCCAGCCACATTGTGCCCAAAATCCTACTGGTGAGTTTTCATAGGAGATTCAGAGTACGTCATTAAGCATTCTCCGCTGGAGAAAACGGGTGGGTTGTGGCGTCATATTATGGAGAAGTGGGGGAAATGATTGAGAATGCCGAGAAGGTAGTGGAAACGCGTGTTGACAGGTTTCGAATGTATTGATTCGCGCGCTGAGTGCTGTAATGGGGCGCGTTTGTTGAATGGGAGCAGGTGTCGAAATGGGAAATCGAGAAGTATAGGAACTTTCGCTTGGAAAATTTCAGTTTTCTCGCAAGACGGAGGTGGATTTCGGATCAGCAAGGGTCATCCTTCTCAAGTGGAGCGGATTTGTTCTTGAACAGTCTGAAATAATTAAGTTATTGAGCAGGAAATGAGTTTGCACTACAATCTAACCTTCCTCTTTTTCGTCGGCTTAACTTTCTTCATATTCGATCTTTTGTGTCGGAGTTATTTGATATAAAAAATTCAAATCATTCTCTCTCCAAACATATCTGAGAATTCATCGAAAGCTAATTTAGTAAAAATTTAAACGTTGGAACTTTTTTTCTGTGCAAACGTGACTTTTCAATATTTAAACGACCATAATTCTTCAAACTCATTATTGTGGAAGCTGAACCCGGTATGAGAAACTACAGGATTCAAGCTTTCCAAAAATTACCCGAACGTTCTTGAAAGGTGAGTAATTAAAAATTAGTTTCGTGCCTATTTTAGGGGGGGTCGCGGAACTATTTTTTCTGAACCGCGACTTTTCAACTTCAAACGACAACAACTTCCTTAAACTCATTCATTTGGGAAGCTGAACCGGGTTTGAGAAACTACAGGATTCAAGCTTCTCAAGTAGTACCTAAACGATTCTAAAAGTGAGTAATTCAGAAATTAGTTCCGTTGCTACATTCTTTTGAGGGGCATTCTCCGAGCCATTCTCTTAAGAAAGCGGTTTTTTTTGGTTTCACTGGCCGCAACGTCCAGGGAAAAGATATCGTGCTGACCATGGATGTGTTGAATGCTTTGTGCATGCGCTTGCACTGATTTCCCCCTGCCTTGGTGTGCGCCACGCCTCGGTCGCACTCCTGATTCGCTGACCTCATTTGAAAGCTCATCTAGAAGGAAGCGGCTTACAGATGTCTAGCATCAATTATCTTACGTAAACGTAATGTGGTGACTATTGTTTATGTTTCTTAGCCATACTCCAGCTACATTTAGTTTCAATTGGTTTCGTGGGAAGACCCATGTCATGGTGGGGGTACTTCTTTGAACGATGCTACATGTATTGCAGCTGCTGGTTTCTGCAAGTCTTCCTTCTCATGCTCTTCCTGAAACATGGGTTATGATCAGTAGGGAGATTACCACAATCCTACTGCCGGCACCGGAGAGAGTACGACCCCCACCCCTCCGCGTCCATCCAAGAACGCCCCCCCGTTACTACTTGTAGCAACATAGGGTTGACCCTGTCTCAGAATCAAACACTATATAAACGGCCATGATGGTGAGGGAGGTTGGTCGAAGAAGGGGCATGGGGGATAGTGTCAGGGAGCCTCCCAGGACTAATGGGGGTAGGGGGGGGCGCGAAATTCATAAAAAATACCTAAGTGACGGTTGACCCTATTTTGAGTGTATGATTAGATAGGGATACCAACCGAGATTCCATATAAAATCGATTACCTGGAAGGCCTTTTCTTCGAGGGTTTGCATGGCTCGGCAAGGTTTGGTTAAAGTGAAGAACCAGGAAGGTAGCAGCCATTTTAGTTTTGGTTAATATGAATGAGAAGGGTAAGCGTACCAGTCGTAGGCCAGGTCTCAGTGGAAGATGTGATAGGATATAAGTGCTTTCCCTCAACTCCGCTTTGATTAGACATGGATGTCTTTCCAAAATTCCACTTCGATTAGATAGGGTGCCCCCCCCCCAAACTTCGGTAGCGCTCAAAAGTGTTGGCCGAAGCGATTTTCCGTACATTAATCTTTCTCATCTAGTCAATTTCCTTACATTTACGATGTCTAGTTTCGAACCCTTGAAGACTAAGGGTTCACGACATGCGGAAAAATTTCTTCAAGTAAACCTTCAAGACTTTTTAGGGGAAAGTTAAGCTCGGAAAAGCGTCTCGGCGAACTCTTTTGACCGCAACTGTACATTTTCACCGAGGATCAGGGTCAACCGTGCGTTGGACAAAGTCCAACGAGGGGTGGTGTGGGGGGTCGTATTTGAGGTGGAAAAGGAGGGGGTCGTATTTCGCGAGGTAGCGTCAATGTTACAGTAAGGGAAGTGATGATGCAGTTGGTTGGCGTGCTAGAATTTTGCCGTTTCACGGTGGCAATTAGGGAGGAAAAAAAAAGTGGCCGGAGTTTGGCCTGTGTCGACTGGTTCCAGATAGGGTCAACCGTCCGTTCAAACTGTTCGAGCAGGGGGTGGCATTTGTGTTTTGGGAGGGGAGAGGGGTCGCATAGCGCGGTTCTGCTGGTTATGTTTGGTCATCAGGGGCGCAGGGCATAGGTGCGTGCGAAAAAAGTTGCCGTTTCGTTTCATTGGTAGAATATACCCCCTCCTCTCAAATACTATAGAAGAGGGAGAGGTCGCGGTGATTGAAACCTGGTTGTATTGGGGGGGGGGGGTGCAACTGGAATCCCTCGAGGAGGGGGGGGAGGGTCGCAAAAAATTCGCCGAAAATGTTCGAAACAGTGACGGTTGACCCTGGTCCCAGAATCGAATACTATAGAATGAGCCCTATGATGGCGACGGCAGGCGAGGGTGATGAAGGGTTGACCCTGAGGGGGGGTCATATCGAGGACCTCTAAAAGGGGGAGGGGTCGTAAAATTTTCGAGATCGGTCCAACGTGACGGCTGATCGTGCCGAGGTTTCAATTGTGGCTAATTCAGTGCTCGAAAACTTTTCTGCTCTGCCTAAGTCGCTCAAAAGACATAAACTCTTTTATCGACAAAATTTAAAGCTATAATCACTTATCATGAGTACCAATTGACATAATATATTAAAGACGACAATAGAAATTTACAAATAGAAGCCGCACAATGACTGAATGCCTCTGGGCATTGTACGGCTTCACTGTCAAGTTGATGAGGACTGCAAGACATACCCAAATACATACAAAACATCGCGCGACTGGGCAGCCAAGCAGTGCACACAATAGAGAGCCTACAAAACTTGTCAGCAGAAGAAACGATGTCACATTTGATCCGTACAATGTTAGAACACTGACGAGTTCCGCGCCATACCGGACTGGATGAGCCGGCCGGCAGGCGTGAACTCGGAAGGACTAGGAAACGGACTGAATCATGCCGAGGTCGCTACGAACACTAGTGAACAGCAAATAACGACGATGTGTGATGAATGAAGAAGGAAAGAGGGAAGGAACAAAGAAGAAGAGTTAAGCGCCGACATGGACGCGACAAGTGCAGTGTGGGGGGTTGCGTGGTAATGGTGACTCTGGCACGGTTGGTGTACCGAAAGGTGCAGGATACAAACAGGTGGGCAGAAGTGAACGATTGACTAGAAAGGGTTGGCGAATAGAGAATTGAAACAAAATAACAGCGTTCTAAGTAGTTCGGAGGCAAGACGGGCGTGTGTGAATCGAGACGGGAGCTAACACGGAGGGATTCGATGCTCTCACCGGGAGCGAACACCACGAACTGAATGAACCGGGACAGACACTACGGGAAGCGGAGATACTAGCAGAGACACACGGAGATGCTGGTGAGACGGACGGCAAGAGTCGAGGAAAGAAGGGTCGTATATGGCGGGCGGACACGGGCTACATTGACACAGCGAGTGTTTCGGGTTATTAACAAGAGTTAAAATTCGGCAAACTCCTTGGAACACTTCTCGGTGCCCGAAATACGTAACGGCTCTTCCTCGTAGTCGTCGAAGTTCGATGCATCGCCTGGACCGCGACATTTCGGAAGGAAAGGCGCTTCCACCTAAAAATAGACGCAATAACCTCGCACACAATCACGCAATAACATTATACAGTACCCTAATTCCGGTAGATAAACCCTAGCCAATGTCTCGTAAAAACACCTCCGCTCGTGCAGTGTAAGTGCGTACACCTAGAGACTACCGTAACTGTGGCCTTTGAGAAAATTCGATGCCCTAATTACGAAAATAACATCCATTTTTAGCATTGGCGCCATCTGGCACCTGTTGGCGTCACTTCGTCACGACCCTTGTTTTCACCAAATTCGGTGTTAACTTCCATATAGGGATTATTTGGTGCCCTCTTTCAAAAATGACATTCGTTTTTGGCAGTAACGTGCTCAACGCATATTAACGATCTAATCTGTGAGAGGGCGCAGACGAGCAAAAAATAGGCACCAAATGGCACCAGCGTCAAAAGTGAATGTTATTTTCGTAATCAGGGTATCGAACTACCCCAGGAGACGGTCAAGAGTCCTCCGCGACCGCCGCGCCAAAAGTAGGTCACCGCGCGCGACGTCGCCGACGTTTTTGCAGTTTGAAAGATGGCAATTTGCCAAGTTCAGGGCCCGCATCTCCAGACGATCGAAACAACGCTTTCCTGTTCCGTCTGTGTGGGCCCCATTCCTGCATTTGTTTTAGCTTAGACCTAGCAACTTGGTACGTTTCAAACTCCCGGATACGCAGATAACCGCCGCATGCGGTGGCTACTTTCGCGTGCGCGGCGACTTTAGAAGGCCTCTTGTCTCGCATCCAGCTACCCCAACGGCCAAAGTTACGGTAGTTTCCAGGTGTACGCAATTACACTGTACGAGCGGCGGTGTTTTTACTTGATATTGCCTAAGGCTTATCTACCGCAAATTAGGATAGTTATCAATTGATCAGTAAAGGAAAGCTAAGTTGTGAGAAAGGAGCAGATCTCAGTCTGTTCGTGCAAGGGGGGGGGGGTGGTATCGAAACGAACTAAGTAATGAAATGATAGTAGTCATGCTCATAGAAACGACACGCTCGTGATAAGCATTACAGTATTAGGCCGATGTCAGACTTTGCAAACCGAGCGATCCGCTAGCGTCGCGGTCGCGTCGCGGCTAGCGAATCGCTCGATTCGCAAAGTCTGACATCGGCCTTACCCGAAAGTGAATTACACAAGTGACATGCAAAAGAAGGCACAGAGAGTTACTCCGTTCTCTCGTTGTCTTGAAAAGCCCTATGAGCTTTATATGAATGTGGCAGGAGAGTAACCTCAGAAATCGGCGAATGTGTCACCGTGGTGATTCTCGTCGGCGATAGTCCAGTTCTCGTCCTCTTTGACTTCCTCGACGAAGTGTCGAGTGTCAGCTGGTCCTTCGACACGTGGATAGAGAGCCTCGAAAAGACGTCCTGGCTCACATTTGGAGAATGACGCCGGAGTGATCTACACACAAGCACAGTACATCTCGACCACAACAAAAAGCAAACAAAATCCATGCAGAGAAAAGGCTGTGAAAGTATGTAAAAGAGGCTCGTTGAGAGCCTGTGTGATAGAAAAGAGGAAATCGTGCAGTTAGTAAAGGCTTCAAACCCGTTCACTCAATAAACCCCGTGCACACACCCATACACATCTCTCACATTCTCGCTACCTTTCGTTGATAGATCGCTATCCAGTCGGTGCTGCCGAACCATTTGTGGTTCTTGATATCAGCGACGCCGTTCTTCAGATTACCAAAACGTTTTGTCAGATCGACTTGAAGCAGATTCTTCAGCAAATCCTTGAGCTCGTTAGAGAAATGTGACGGGAATTTCACCTGAAAACAAGGAGAATTCGTAAAATATCAAAGTCAGCGGTTGCCTAGTTTACTATGAAAACATGGCGAAATCATACAAGCAAGCGCTTTCGAGTCAGGGTTAATTGTCTCTCGTACCAACTGCCAAAAATTAATTGCCTCGTTTAAGCGGTACGACCACTCGCCACCACCATCGCCTTACGGAGAGCCCCCTACCGCAACTCTCCTCCCCCTACCCTGACCGCCATCCTCCTCCTCATGACTCTCTCAATAGTTTTGGTTCGTTAACTGCTGTTTTTCAGCCGCAGTTCGCCTTGCGAATGTTTCACAAGAATGCTGGGTTGTGAACAAAACTTTCGCCCCAGATGCGACTCGAACCCGCACCCCTCGTTTTTCAGACAACTGCGCTACCAATTACGCTACCGGGGCACCATTTCATTCCAACTCAGCTCTTCATGGCTTTTGACTTGTTTTGGTTGCTTGTGTGAGTGCTGACAAGCTATGGTGAGTATAACATGACGAGCTGGTTAGAAACTTTTTATAGTATATTGATTCTGAGACCCAGTTCGACACGCTCCAACTCCGCCCACTTGGCTCCTCCGAACGGCATTCGATGAGCACGGCGGGATGAAGAATGTGTTAAAGAAGGCGAGAAATTTCTAATTTTGACCATTGCATGTGAATTACTTTTTCAAAAAATTTTTCCCCGAAATTTCGAAAGGATCGAATGTTCAGAACGACCCCGCTCCTGCCAACCACAACCCTTTCAAATCCAAAAATTAACAACCCTTTCACCGCCGCCATTTCACCAACCCAATATATGGCCGCTCCTCCGTACGAAACGTAAATGGAATTTCTCTTCGAGAACTACGCAACATACGATCGACTCTGGCGCTAGATTTTGAGCCCTATTATTCCGAGCGCGCCTCTCTTACTCAGCAGTCTAAATGTAGAACTAATCAAAGGCTGTTGCAACCAATCCAACTACAAACGAGTACTCGACATGGAGTAATTGCCAGATATTCGCTTTTTTTTGATTGTGCTTCACCAGGGCAGGCTTAGTTGCAGACGAGCTTGAGACCATTTGTGTACCGTTTCACACATCGCATATCAGATTTGTTTTTGTGTCAGCAAAATTGTACCTGTCCGAACAAAGCGGCATGGACGTCACTAGAAATGGCTGCCAATCGTAAGCCAAACTGTTAACTCAGCAACGTGGGCCCATCTCAAATGTAGGCCGGATATTTTACCAACGATAATCAACACCAAAGAAGAACATAGTATTTTGATGCGATTTCGAAAAGAGATCAAAAAGTGTCGGAACATTTGAAAACAACAACAACCGTTTCAAAAGCAGCAGATTTGAGAGAATTCGCAGAGAGCATTTTTGTAAGAGTACCTCCCCTATTTAGGGAGTCTCCGATACGACAAATCACTACATTCAGCAAAAGGAGGCGGAGGAGTCCCCCCTTACGACCCCTTTCCAGTCCCCGACTACGCCCGCCACCATAGCCTTATATTGTACATCGATTTCTGAGACCATTCGACCGGCTCCAACTTCGTCCCTCCCTCCCCTCAAAGCGGCCATCGAGCGGAGGGGAGCGGAATAAAGGGGTAAACTTGAGTTTGTGTAATTGAAGCGGGAAACCCCTTAATTGTTGGCGCCTCTGTGGTCACGCTTTTATCGATTTCCACAAAAGCACGGGAAAACGCCCGCCTAAAACGACCACGTCTTCCGGTTACAAAAAAACCCATCTCAGTATCAAAAATACGCCCTCCACCCCCCTTGACAAATGCGGCACGCCGGGTGACAGAATTGTTGAACTCATGGAACCGTTTCCTCCCCCTTCCGTTTCAGTACTGCACCCTAACCGGCTCCATTGCCAAAGCCCGCCCCCTCCTTCCCCCTTAAAAATTGAGTACATGCTTACACTTGCCAAACACGTTGTTTTCCTTTGATTTGCTTTTAATATGTCTTCTTCTAAGGATGCCAAAAGTTCTTCTCTGCCCACCTTTTCACAACCTCTTTTTTGATCGGAAAAAATCCGCTTCCGAATTTCCTGTCACACTCACATTTGTCAAGGGTTCGAAAACTTCGGAATCCAGCCTTTAAGCATTGTCGACATCTCAGGTTGCTTATACAAGAACACTATGTTATTGCAGATGCAGCGAGAAAACGTTACGTCTGGTAATATATGAAAGAGGGGTCGTATTTGGGAAGAGAGCTATCATATTTGAGTGGCAAGGTTAGCTGTGCTGAGTAAAGTGCGCAAGTGTAAACGGGGGGGGGGGGGGGGAAGAGGCGCATTTTTGGAGTTTCAGGGAGTGGTGAGGCAGAGGTGGCATTGTTTCTGATGGGTTTGGGATTACTTTAGCTGTAACGCGCTGGTCTACAGAATTGAATACCTATAATGTTATACAATACCATGAAACTCAATAGCGAGGGTGGCGGTGTCGTGTACGGGGCAGGGGGATCTTTCGGGGAAGCCTTTGCTAGATTGATGGTGCGATAGAAAGGTGTTCGCAATAGTCTTGGGAAATTCGCGAAAGCCGACGGTTGGGACTCTGGATCGCAGCAGGCAACTAATAAAATATTCGAAATCTACTGCTTCAAAATCCGAATTCTCCCGTCTAGGGTGTGCTGAGACTGCGTTTGTTGTTGTTTCCAGGGAGCAAAATAAAACAAAGCGCTTCATAGAGAAAATTGCTACATACAAGAGCTGGCAAATTTCACTTGACACTACGATTTTCTATAGATCTGAATGGGTGATCGGCCGAAGAATGGCGGGTAACGGCAGCCATTCTCATAGGATCAGCACTCCAAGGAGGCCCACCAATCTACTGCGTTATTATAGCCCTGAACATCAGATATTATGGAATGGGTTCTTCCTAAAAGAAGCCGCCGTATTTCATACCTTGCGAAAGGATGACTCTTGGCAGCTAAGTACTCAGGGAGTACCACACAACGTCCAGTTGCGACCTTTGACCGCTTCGCAAAACCGAAATATTCAGTGATTCTGAAAAACGAAGCTGAGCTGAGTGCGATGAGAGGGTTTTTGAAAGGCCATCGGGTAAAGGAATTCGAGGGACCAAACCTTCAGGTTTAGCCGTTACTTCGATCAGACAGATTCTCTGGTTTCAGTCCGATAAGTATTAAATCGAGAGAGTGTAAGTACTCGAACGCCGAGCAACTATCTGAGCGCATAAAACCATGGTGAATGTGGCTCGGAGAAACTGAAAAACCTCTTTCTTAAACCAGGGCGCGCCAACAGAAAGCCGTGTTGGCGCTAAACTTGTAGGCTCAATTTCTTCAAACGACCGTTTTCCAATTCGACGTAAATGGAAAAACATTTCACACCGGAAATGAATTCGAAGCACCATGTTAGAGATTTGAGTTATCCTGAAAATTAGGCTGTATTTACGCTGAGTGAGGTATAATCCCGGACTAGTAGGACGGCGCCGCAGGGAATACTATCTACTCCAATTCTCGTCCAACTAACTTTCATCCGCCCGGCATCACATTCTTCTCGGATTTAGACTTGCACTGGAGATCACAATAATGTTTTTGAAAGTAGCAAAAAATAGCGTCATACGAAACAGTAACGCAGTGTAATGCGATAGCACAAACTGCCATTCAAAGGCATCCGCCGAATTCTGACGAAGGAAAGAACAAACATGGCGCATACCCAAAACGAGTGATCAACCGGCACCACTGTTGTGTTTGGAAACTATGACGATTTCTTTAGTAATATGGTTTTCCGGCGATAACACAGCAAGGGTCAGTTGGGGCCGCTCATATCGTTTCGGGGACATCCAAGTGAGTGCGTTCTCGTAACTTGGCGACCAGCGTTAGTCCTATCGGTTTGCTACTTTGGAGAAATATTTTACTGGACCCCCCTCCTTCCCGACCAAAGCGGGGGTATATTCCCTCAACCGCAAAAATTTCAACTGCAAACGGCAAATTTTCTCCCGCGCCGCTCCCCCCGCTGCCCCTCATAATAGCACTTCTACAACATAAGCAAGTACGACCCTCTACAAACTCACAAATACGACCCCCGTTGCTACTTGAGCAACATTAGAGTTGACCCTGTTGGGAATAGCCTGAGGGAGCCAGAAAGTGGTTCTGGGGGGAAGATGCAAAACATTTGTGTCTTCTTAGCGCTTCCTTCCTCTCCTGGTGTCAGTTCTAGTGTGACCTTCCTGCCTTTAAATGCCTCCCTGCCCCTCCTCCCCCCCCCCGAGCGCCCAGTTTGATGGCTTCTGTTTGTTAGCTATTAGGTTTTCAACTTCTACCACACAGGGCGATTTTCTAACAAGTAATCCAAGGTTGCATGTTTCTGCCTATTGGGGAGAGTAGAGAAGACGTGGCGTATCAGGAACCGACCAAAATCAGCCCGTAATGCTTTGCACAGTTCGCCAATCCATTCTATCCATACCCATAAATCCCTACCTTCATTTTAAGAGCCATGTGCCACCAGCAAACTTAACCGGGATGGACCCCCCAAAACTTTCGCCCTACTCCAATCAATCTTAACGCCGGTCTTCATGATTCAGATATTGGAGGATACTATTCCGAGACGCGGGTTTGGAAACCCATCCCCATGGGCTTTTAGTACTTCTGTCAACCGTGAGACTTAGGAAAGTTATCGTTTTTTAGTAGCTATTCTGGGAGCTCTCGCAATTTGCAGCACTATTACTGAGTCTCCGCTTGAAAGGTTACTCATAGACTACACAATGCGGTATGCCTTTTCATCTCACTCTCACCCCTGGTTAACGGGAAGCCTTGTGCACCATCCTCGGGCGGGTAATGCTGCACACGGCCCCTAAAAAATGGAAGACTAAGTTTCTTTTCCAGACTCAGATCCCCAGAGCAGTGCGACGGGTGACAACTATGGTTATTGCTTAGGCTCAGGCCGGGCTAACCTTAGGCTATTACAGTTGGTCTTGCTGCGAGCCTAGGGTTAAGTTACGCTTGTCACTTAGCCGTAGTTTGCTATCTGCAACNGGGTCAGTCCTATCGTTGTCTACTTTTTGCTACTTTTCGAAAACGTTTTTACGACCCCCCCCCCTTCTACAAACTCACCAAAATTACGACCCCCCGTTTGCTACTTGTAGCAGCATAGGGTTGACCCTGCCTGCAACTCAGAGCTATCTTAGTCTGAAGGAAACTGAGGAAGTGAGCTGATATACACCCGACCAGAATAGAGCCCAGGACGTGAACGGAAATGATGAGGGCTCATCAGGCATGGTTATTTCTATCCAATATTATGAGCCCAAAAAGCCAATTCAGTATTTCTCCCCCTCCAAGCCGATATAAATGGCATTAGGGCGTTTAAAAATATCTCCATGAGAGTACTCAAGCACTAGCGCTTCCGTTACCCCATTCATGCGCCGCCTATGGACCTGCCTTTTTAGCCGTAAAAACCCTACTCAGTGCTTCCATAGTCCGATTCTACGAGTCGCCTATGTGCGTGTACGCTTGTCCCAATTAGGAACAACCTTCACGAAACGGTGTCCCTTGCATGCTTTCACTCACGTGCGACTCTGTGTCTCATTCTAGTCGAGTTGGCTTGTTTGCGGGGAACTAGCCACGATTGAAGGCGCTATTTTTAGCCCCGGCGCCTCGGCATCAAGCCTTGGTCGATCCATGGCATCTCAATGAGGGCTATTTTTAGCGCTGTGTCTGCCGTGTCTTGCAAAACGAATAACACATCCACGAGCGATAGTAGCTTGCGGAGCTTAGTGAGGGAAGGGGATCTAACAGGGTTTAAGACACGCTGAACACAACAAAATGATGTTTCAGCTCGGAGCTACGAGCCATTCGATTTGCTACTAAGTTGCGAGTAGCTCTAACAAATATCTGTGCGAGGAAAAGACGACGACTGGTGATCGTGATGGGCTATTCCTGACCCGTTTGTCAATACATCGGCAAAGTAAACACGAGAAGAAGCAGCGAAGGAGCGGAAGCCCCGATCGACAAGCCGTTTCCTATCGCGCTTTCTCTCTCTCGCTCTGGACTTGGCGACCATTCCATCCATACCATGACTACGGGAATTGATCCAATTGGCCACCTTCCTATACAGCCGACATTCCCGTGAAATACCTCAGTGTACTTTGAAATCCAAATTGAAAAGAGCAAAACTAATGAAAAGGGCGTATGAAAAGCATTTTAATGTTTTGACGGAAAAGGGCATATTTTCATGTGACAAACTGGGCAATATGAGGGGACAGAACAGCGCTATGGACTATTCGAGAACCAACGAAAATGCACAAGGGGTAGGGAGTAGGGTAAAGCTTACCTTAAAGGAGTACTGCATGTTGACGAGAAACGGAAAATCGATCGCTTGAAGAATTCGTTTCTCGTTCAACGTATGCTCCACTTGTTTCAGTTTCACAACCTGTAAACAACAACAACTCTTTCAACAGCGCCAAACAAGTGATCGATCTGTAAACAAACTCATCATTAACCACAACCCTTTCTTATCTTAAATTTATTGCCTATAGTTGCCAGATGATTTATGCTTCACAAGCATCACCCTCCCGAATGAGCCGGTTCCCAGCGTTTTGATACGATCGAAATCATCGAGGGTTGCGGTGTTCTGAACATGAAAACCAAAATGTACAGCTGAATATCTTCGATGGAAAAAGAAATGTACAAACAGCTCTCTCGATTCGTTACAGTCGGGGGAACTTTTTTCGGAAACCGCGCTATTAGAAGGGATATGTGAGGCCTACAGTCGGGATATAATTGGTGCCAAATCTGAGGAATCTGCCACCCAAGGCTACCAGATATGGCCATCGAAGAAATGTGATTTGCGCAGGAAAACCGGGAGCCCTGGGTATTTCCGCGCCCAACGTCAGAGGGGAGGAGGTTTTGAGGTAGGGTAATGTGCATTACCCAAGCTTTGGATCATATTTAGGCCTTTAAAAACGACGAGTCGAAAGGACAACCTCTCCCGGTAACCACCTCGAGGCAGAAATAAAACCCCAATTACAGTAACAAAAACGAGGTTAGGTGTCACGTGGGAAGCCCGTGCGAACTTTTGCTTACCATCCAATCCCTGTTACGGTAACCGCTAACAGTTTTACACGTGCCAGCGCCAATCAATGAGAGCTTACAGAGAGGTCACGTAGGAACCAGCGCCATGTTCCATTGTGGAACAACTTGGGCGCACCCACGGCATGTTGCCCCAACTTCCCGGCGATTCTGGGCGAATATGTGGGCTAAGAGTTGACTGGCGAAAGGCCATAACATTACACGCCACTAATTGATGCCCGAAACATCGAAGATCGTATTCGATAAATTCCATGTCACAGCGGAACCCCCCGACAAGTCTCCACGAAGAATCAATCCCCGAGTGAATAGGGTAGCTAATCGATTCGGATCAAACGGAGGGTACGGGCGTTACGCGCTCTGTAAAGGCGGGGTAAGCCACAGGGTACGATCGAAACGTGTACAAATTTTGATAGCCCCGAGACTGCCGCAATAACAATACCCCCGTGGTGGTGATGGTGATGGTGGACGTGAAAACATCGCCTGATCTATGAAGAAATACGAGCCAATCGACGGCTGTTGTGAAAAATCAATGTGTGATAGAAAGAGAGATGGGGGAAAACTGTGCACTACCTGCCAAAGCCATTTCATCGACCAATGCTCCGAGAGCTGTGTTTTCAACCAGAATAATTCAGCAGTCAGATTTACGTCTTTCCGTCCCGACGTGATTCGTGGCGGATCGTCATTATAGAACACGGGACCAGCTGACGTTGAAGGTTCCAAAAGGGGATCCTTGCATTGAGCATAGGAGGTCCGTTCCTCCAAATGGGGAACCTTTTCGCGATAACGCGACTCCTCCGGTGAGCTGGAGGAGCGACGCTTTTTCACGGCCAAGCCCGAGCTCAGCCCTCCATGGAAGGTTGTCGTTCGGGTAAGAGGGAATGTGACTTTAGAGGTAGACGGTGAGGATATGTCGGTTGGTCTGAGCGGGTTACATCGGAATAGGGGATGTATTTCCTGTTGAGGAGACGAATCGCACGATGTCGACGTTGAGACACTTCGTTGCGATGCCCAATCGCCAAGGCATTCGGGCCTTCGATCGGCTTCTGGATACAGGGACAACAGCTTGTTCGATGATATGATGGCTACAGGGAACAGAAAATTTCAGAATGGAGCGATGAGGGGTGGAGACTAGGGCTTTTGCCATCAGAGACGCCGGGCGATCAGAGTGACGAGAAAGAGCGTGACGAATGTGGACGAACAGCCATGACCGAGCGGATAGCGCGCCGATAGCGGCGATGCAGATGGGGCAGAGCGACAGCTGAGAGTACGGTAGGTGCGGAGAGTTGGGACAGGGCAACGCAGAGAGGGTTCCCGGCGAAGCGCGGAAACACGAGACAAGCAGGCAAACCGGCTCTTTTGTAGGCACAATACACGTGGGAGAGTGCCGACGATTTCTATTTATAGCCTGCGCGCATGTTGAGACCGGCAATCATCATACTTAAATGGGTAACATGAAAATATTGCTAAACTGGGGACGGTAATGGTTGCCCAAGGCAAAAACAACGCACGTAAGAAGACTATAAATAGGCGTATTCAGACATTAAAACCACCACCTGCAGATAGATGCCTTTACATTAAGTAACAGGAGATTATGGTGTTGATGAAATTCAATTGTCCTAGACGAGTGGGCGGAGGGGGGGGGGGGGGTAGGCTGCGCGCGGGATTAATGCGCAATGCGTTCCTACTATTTTCTCAATTTGTTTGGTAGTGCAAGCCGAGCGGCCGTTTAATTTCAGTTCTGCTCTTCGCGCTCCGCGTCGCGCTGTCAACACAGAGACGTCGCGCACCGGCCAGTTCACCGTCTGCGGAAAGTCAGCGCGCCATGACGACTGCTCTCACATTTGGGACAATTCCCCCATGGGACAAATGAGCTCGGTGAAACAAAGCTGCATCGCTTGAAGCCTGAGGATACTGTATTGTGCTGTCAGCTGCGTTCGTTCGGTGCCTCCTGACTCACATCGAATCGTTCGTCTCGACGATGTGTTCTGTAGTTATTGTCCGTATCCGTCGGAGTAGAGCCAAAACATCACGCGCACTCATCCGGCCCGGGCCGTCATGTTCCGGCGCCCCTGCCTGGCAACTAATTTATCCTAAACAGGACTTAGCGCGCCAGGGAATGGTGATGATTGGCCGATTTCAGTGTGTTAGCAGGGATGGGTGAAGTAATTACTTTTAACGTGGACAGGCAGCACTTATGCCGAACTCTTCCACGACGTGGGCGAAGGTCCCCATAGCTTTGCACCAACGCAGTCCCCTCCAGAACGCACTACGCTAGTGAATGGCGAGTCCCTGGCAGCCAACGCCACCCGTAATCTCTCACGTAATTTTGTTCGCGCCTCATTAGATGAGAAAGATATTGGGCGCTATACGGCAATAGTAGGGCGGCATCCTCGTCAAGGGATGAACCTATGAGGAGGGGAGGAGCATCCGGGGGAATGGAAATGGCTCATGTCGTACTTTGGAGTCTGTCCCGCCGTCTAGGCGCTTGAGTCTTTTCAACAGCAACGTACAAGGCATATTTAACGGTTTTCGAATGCAGTTACCATCGGCAGTGCCGTATATTGCGGTAGCACGACTACTATAACGTGGCCTCACCAGGAAGTCCTGCCGCCATGTCTTAGGGGACTCTGATGTTAGTGGCCCTGAACCTCGGGACGGCCTTAAAGGAGGGCAAGGATTCGTGGTAGATCGGATTAAGCCAACGCAGTGTGTTCTTCCCCGGTGTACTATTCGCAACCCTGGGTTTAAGTCATGGTCGCACCTAACAGGGTTTTTGAAGGCCGCCTGTCGTGGAATGTGTCTTCCCTAAAAACATGCGCCGCCGTCCAGCCCTCCAGCCCCGTCCTTCACTAAACCTGCAATTCACCTGGCAGCGCATTCCTTTGGACTTTTGCCGGAGAACAGGACGGCAGACGGTCGCTCCTAAAAGTATTCGCGTTTAGCTTCGCAAAGCAAGCGCCCAAAAATCGAATTGCCCCCCTGCACATACGGCCGCCCGTGCAAATGCCGCAGGCGTCGGACCCTGCCGGGGCGGCTACGAAGTTTGGTTGAGTGTTATTGGAATGCTCGCAGCTAGACTTTTTTCCAAATCTAGTGACGATTGGGTGTTCGAACCTCTGACGTATGAAATTACGGTGCGCGAGTGTGTGTGTTGGCTGGGGCTAGCAGTGCCGGACGGATAAAATAGCGCTGCCAGATCGATAGCTGCCACATTGCATCCTGCACGACGACGGGTAGAACAACCTCCCGTTGGACGGAGTAAATCCGCTAGGTCGTGATAATGAGATCCGGAGGATATACTGGGCGCTGAATCGTCTGAGATCTCAGATTTCAAATCCAGGAAACAAGGAACTTATCGGGTCATTTCGAGGAATTCTTCCGGGATTTCCTCAGAGCTTGGGTCAAGGTTTCCCACTTCATATTCAGAAAACATGGAAGAGCATGGGTTTCTTGGTGAGCTTCCCCCGTTCCAGAAATTCCAAAGGGAAGAGAAATATGTGTGAAGAGCGGAAAGGAAGTGCCACATACAAAGACAGAATAAAGAACAGCGAAAAGAGAAAGAGGAACGAGTGTGAAGTACGAGAGAGCTGTCCGGAAAGAAGTAGAACGACGACCCACCTGAGCTGGATTCTCCCATCGCTGTTTGAAGTCCTCTCGAGCCTTCTCCAGAAACTCCTTGACTGAAAAACGAGTGGTTTAGTTGAATGGCAGCTAAGTAAGAACTTCAAACACACACATCACTGCACACATCTACATTGTCGGCTACAATCAAACGCTACCGCATTCCTCCAGGGACCGTGCCGGATCCCAAAAGCGCCTCCACGCACGACACGTACCCCGCCCGTAAACAGCCGCTTGAAGTGCGTATCAACGGTAAAACAGCGAAAAAGTGACTGGTGACTCACAGAACTTGATCTGAAGCTTCTTGTTGCTGGAGGACATATCTTGCCTCAGGCAGGCATGGACCGGAGCACCCGTATTGGGCTGGCGGCCGCGACGCACCCGCCTCGCGCGCGCCAACCCTCCTGTTCCTCAGCCTCGCACAACGTTACTCTCGACATCGCATCACTGCCCTCAATGTGCCCATAGGCGCCTCGGCGCCAGATCAGACCCGGAAAGACGGTGCGCGCATCGCGAAAGCCATGATTGGCTGCTGATCAGCCGTTTGATCTACGCGACGCTCTGATTGGTGGATTGGTTATTGTGGTTACCGTAAGGGCAGAACTAGCCAGCCGCGGACACTTAGTGGTGAGCAGTTGTCGCGCCGAACGAACACTTTGAGTGCTACGCTTGGTGACCACACCTGAACTCTTTTGTTGCTATCACAGCGTTACGAATCCTCCCTTCAGAAGAACCAGGCTTCAAATAGGGAAGGCTTTCGAATCCCCATGGAACTCGAATTGGGACCTAGGTAAATCGATAGACACCGTAAAGCTGGTAACAAATGTAGTGATCAAAGGATATGGATAAAGGGTAAAGCATTCGCCGTTAATCAGTCCCTTTTTGGGATGCGGCACGCATTCTACTTCCGTTGTACATCCGCAGGGGCGTTTGAAGGCGCATTTGACTATACGCATGACTTGCGGGGACCAGCTAATGTATGTAGTCAGCTTCGTATTATCCCAGACAAGTCTTGCTACATTAACCGAGCCCGAGGAATAGAAGATTGATTTGGCTCACGCCAGGCGACGCAACGAACCAGGATTCTTTTCCTGGACCGGCGCACGTGTGTGACGTGCCACTTGCGCATCCACTGTCAGCCGTGGAGAATTCAGTAACTGCTACTTGAAATCTGCCAGAAGGTGATGGATGTCAATTGCTGTGAAGTCACTCTGGTTGGAGGAGTATTTGGTTAAAGTCTTCTCTGAGAAATACCAGAGGCCTTACCTTCAAAATCTGGCATAGGCGCTATTGTACAATTAGGAAGCCGCTAAACTGAAATGGCATCAGGTTATGTCGTGACTGGAATATCGTACGGACTATTAGCCATCTGAACAGTTTCCCTGGAAGATTTATAGCAGCAGCTCTGGTCTCTGACGATCTTTGTAAAACTATCAGATATATCGAACTGGGGAGTATCAGTTCAAATATTTCAGGCAAGTGAGCTCAGTTCGCCGGTGGAGGTGGCCTCATGCTGCTCTCCAATACTGAGGATAAGACAGAGTTTTCACGACAGTATATCGACTCATTTAAAACTACTGGTGATAAGGGACTGCGTGTATTGCGGAATATTCAAGGGTTTTCAGCTTGGCCTCGCGTGGTCAAAGCATACTCCTGACTGGGTAGGGTATGGACATCCCTTCCATAAGCGCAGGTTTTGTAGACAGCCAAGGTGCGCACGACCACATAACCATAATCGCTTGATATGAGCAGGTTGCCTGATGGTAAGCATGCATATCACCGGGTCCTTATTGAAAAAAGACACTTGAAAAATGTTTAGTTTGACCTTTTATCTTACGATAAGGACTGAATTCAAAAGAAGTTGTTTGACTATAATATGATAGCAGGAAGCGCTCCGAAACTGAAGTGCACCCATGGGTATTTGAAGACGCGACGAAAGGAGCTCAAGGCACATATGGGAGAAAAAAAAAGCCTTGGTAAGAGTGAGTGTTCAACGGGCGTTTTCTCGTTCCTGGCTACAGTGGACTGAAGCTGGGCTAATTACCTTCGCTCAAGCACTTAACAAAAGTCTAATCATCGCTCCATAGTGAGCAGGGGGGGGTGAAAAACAGCGGCGCTCACAGCTCGCAACTGCTTACATCGACAATGAGAAGTAAGTTATAAACGAGCCTCTGTATTTACGTATACAAATGTAGAACTGGTAATCGCACTTTGCAGTCGTTTATTGAGAACCCGAACCGTAGTTTAACATCACGACAAGGCGACGGACTGATCCGTGCATACATGTATCAAAAGGCAATCTCACCCCGGTTGGCTGGCGCGGTGGGCCTACACTCCAGGCAAAAGCGCTAAACCTTCACTCTCACATCTGACACAAGTTTAATCCGTACAAGATTGAACGTCGCCGAATCGCCGAATGCTTCGGCATCGATTTTGACAACTGCTCCAGGGGAAAACGACTCAGCAGGGGCTTCTCATGTAAACTTGCTACACTATTTCATGGCTCATAAAAACCCGCGCACAAATGTTCCCATCAATTTATCACCTTCACATGGCAAATACAGCACACAGGTACCCAGACGCGGAAAAACCCAAATAAACTTATATTAATTATATAAAAAACAAGTACAATAGTTAACAAGATATGATTACGGTAACTTATTAGCGCTTCGGGTTTTTGTTGAGAAGAAAAAAAAGAAAAAACTTGGCATGGGAAAGCCTTGCTTTGGTTTGACAGAAAAGCTTCCAGCGAACTAATCTTAGGCCCTTAAATCCAATGTTAGGGCACGCTCTTTGGCCGGGGATGAAAAAATGGTTAGGAAAGAAAGAAGGGTTACGGGAGTAAGCAGGACTCACAAGAGAAAATGTGGTCGTCATCGTCAGCATTGACGTCGTCGTCAGTGGGACTGCTGACAGACGGCTTCAAGGAGATCGACGCCACAGGAGGTAAGGTGAACGAGGCGGATACGTCACAGTCAGCGGTAAAGACGTCGTCCGTCGTCGCTTCTGGCCGCACTGCCTGCATCCGAGCAAGCAAATGCGAACGAACTACGACCGCCGAGCACAGCTGACGGAGAGGCTCGACCGCCAGGCAAGCATGCGAAGTCGCAAGTTCGACTCGTCCACCTGATGCATCTCATGCGCATCCGTCACTGTCGCTTACGAGATCGCAGTGATCGCGTGCGATCGCGCGCGACAACCATAGCTCGTACACTAGTCCAGGTGACCTAACCTTATTTGGAGGGTTAGACCCTGGCCCGTTTTCTGGCCTTGTACGGTGGGGTTCGCCGCTGATATCTGTACAGGTATCAGCTTTTTTCTTCCGAAACCACCCCCTGTTGATGTTAAAATTAACCGCTACGCGAGTAGTCGCACTGAGCGGTGATTTATTGCCGCCAACGGTTTTTTGCACCGCGCCATCAGTCACTACAAGGACGTCAAGCGGGATTGATCTATGAATAGAAAGCTACAGTTTTACAGGGATCAGAGCTCAACTAACAGCTAGAAACCATGCCAGGACTTCGTCCAGATGTGGGACTGTCCTGTGGTGAAGGGAACATAAAAAAAACGCTAAGAGCGCGGCTGCTTGGGGAGTCTTCTTCTTTTGCGGCGAACGTCGGGTGCTCGCTAGATCAGGAAAGGATGTATTTTGGAATAGGTGGCGGCTCAAATCCATGTTTGGAACACCGAGGGGAGACCAAGGAAAGTGAATGCTAATCAGAGAATCGGATGTATACGCGTTTTTCGTACAAAACAACACATGTTGAGCAAATGCCGGCAGACGAGGTTATTTTCGGAGGGCCTAGTAGTTTTTCATCCAAAGAAACCTGATGGCAAACGATTTTCTCGTTGAGAACTGCACCGATCATACATGGAATCCTTGGAGTATTGGAGCTTCTTCCAAAAGACGTTCTGTGGGGATTTTTTGGTGACACCAGTCCTTCGAGAGGTCTAGATCGGGCAGTGTCATTCTGATAGATTCAATATTTCGAGAGGGTCACGTGCGTAGTGCCAATTTGAAAATTTCCAACCGCCTCCTTTCCGTGGGCTAAATACGACTTCCTCCACCACACACAAAAGATGTATTAGTTGATAAAATTCCTAGTGTTTTCTAGTTCTGCTTTATACGAATTTTTCACAAAACATTCACAAAAACCTGTCAAACTCCTTCAGACCCTCGATTTCGAAATTCGCAACCAGCTTATCTTCCACCTTCAACCTAACCCAATTATGGTTTCTGCCCTCAAAAACTAAATGCGACGAAGAGACGCACGGATGACTCCTTCGTAGTTCTGCAATGCTCCAAAGCATTTCGTTTCGCCGAAAGGATCTTGACACAGGGTAATGGCACGCCTCGAGAAACACCTTTATTTCTTGTTATGCTCTTGGACTATCGGCAAATAACTCCTCAAGTGGCATGTGTTGAACATCACATGGAAATATGGTGTTGGCAAGGTTTGACACCGAATGAGCTCAGCGGCGTTAAAGTGCCAATATGGCGACAGACAGTAGTGTAAACAATTGATGATGGCTAGTTAGGTGCTTGTTAGATGCAATGATGCATTTAGTTTTTAGTGGTAAAAGTACAGAACATTTAAAAGGGAACGGCGGCGCTTTCGCAAAAACTGTGCGACGCTATGCAACATACGGGGCATAATTGTGGACGATGAATTGAAAAAAAATTAAAAACTTGCTTGTTGATGAAATCGGGAGAAAGTTTCTTAAGCAGAGAGGTAGAGGCTTGGGAATTGTTAGCCATCTATTGTTTCCAGAAGTTCTTGTTCTCTTTTAGGATTGAGTCCGTGAGAAGATGCCCTTCTTGCGATAGCGCCAACACGGTAGTTCTGCGAGGGTGATAAGTGGCCGGAATAGGCACAAGCTGCAAGACGCTCTATCAATTACTCGGCCATTTTTAGACTTATTTGGGAGTCGACTCTTTGGTTGTGAGTATTAAGAGCTTTCTCCCAGGAAGATTACAGGAGTTTCTATAGGACGACAGCTACGTACCTTCAGAGGTTTATGCTTCGTTGCTGCTCAAATTGACCAGTCTGTAAGGGAGCAGTGTAATAAGCGGTGGCGCGATCCCATTCCTTATTATATATTGGGACAAATCTGGATCAAATCTACTTGCAGACTACAAGCACTCTGAAATCGTCCAAGCGACAGTATCGTTTGATTGGGTAAAGTGCTGATCACTTGACCGTGGCCATCACAGTTATGGTTACATCGGAAGTTACGTTTAAGTGCGTAAGTCGTACCCATATACAATCAGGATGGAAGTGAGTTCGCGGCGTCTTCATTTTGAGCACCGTTATGTGGAATGGAATCGGGGAGATGGGTAGGGACATTTTTTTTGGCTTATCGTAGCGACTAAGCGCATCATTTTTGACCTTCAGTTTACTTTTGGGGAGGATAATGGTAAAGCAGGGCCGTAGGACTAAGCGCACTTATTTTGACTTCAGTACTAAGGATATTGCTACACTACCTAGTATTATCAGAGTATATCGATTAGATTCGTTACGTATCAGCTTCTGTATCTCATTCCTCAAAAACTGTGAGAGCAATGGGGTGCCCCCCCCCCGACTCCTTTTCACCATCTTTTTGCACGGAAGTACCTATATGATAATTTCTATACAACAATAGGTTAAAGAGAAACAGGCCTTTTGTGGTAAAAAAACTTTCCTCTCTATAATGACCCGGATGAAGTTATCGGGGCGCTTATCGCAATATACGGGGCAAATATCAGTTTCGGCAGATGTCAAAATAAGCAGCGGTAGCAGAACCGGGAAGATGAGAGCGGGCACGTTTTCTAGAATAACACCTCGTTCCACGCCTAGGGCTTGGTCCGGTCTTCAACAGAAAGGATGTTTCACGCGGTTTAAAATGCAACACCACCAAAATGCCCCCGTATCTTGTGGTAGCGCCATTATCGGTCCCCCTACGCCCACAACCATCGATAACGCCCCCGTCTACCAGGCAGTCATCGCGCCAGAGTAAAATGGTTTCCATAAGCATTTTGAATTAAATGCGCATCATTCCACAGGAGCCTCACGCGAGCATTCATCCAGAAGTGTCCGAGGTCTGAGCGCTCTCTTCAGTCGACTCGGCTTTCTCGCCCAAGAGAGGCATTTCTCTGCATCTCGTGCGCCGGAATTCGTTTCGTGGAATTGCCTATTACTTTTATTGAGGTTTTATGAGTTGTAATGAAAACGGCTGGAGATTGTGATCGTTCCCCGTGCAATTCGCAATTCGCGCGAATCGATGCTGACAACCCGAAAAAGGCGATGGCGTACGCCGCCGGGCGTCAAAAACACAACAACAAGTCAAGAGGAAGTGCCGAATTCAGCAGAGAATTCAGCTGACGTCAATGTGCTGGCCAGAACACGCATGGCCACTAAGGCAATATTCACACTTGCTATTCGGCTAGCAGCGTTCAAATGATGCGTTCAGAGTGAGTAAGCGGTTAGACAGGGTCACAGAATGGTCCAAGGCCACAGTAAGAACCCGTTGGGTAGTACGAGAAGTCAAAAGCGAAAGTGCAGCACCCACCTGTCTCCAAATAGCCAGGAGTAACGAAGTCCGAATAGGAGCAACGTGCACCACAAGTGCAACAGTCTTTACCACTACAGCGCACCTCCTTCTGTAGTCCTTTACCAAAGAAGAACGACGATGCCAACATGGACTTCAGGAATGTGCTGGTGCTCATTCAGACAGAACACCAGCAGCAGAATGCTGGTGAGGCGCGAACATCTCGTGGCCCGTCATAGTATCAGAAAAGGCAGCCGGAACCTGATGGGCGGAGCCACGCAAATGGTCGACTGAGGAGTATCGGTGAGAGAGGGTGTTGGAGTCGACGGGCTAAGCGATGGAGAATTTGTGGTCCTCGCTGCCGCGTCTCTAAAAGCAGGAGCACAGCCGCCGCCCACAATTAGCCGTGAAAGGTGCTGAGGTGATTCTTGTGGAAGTTGCCAGGGTCGCGAGCGGAGCTGGTTCTTGCGTCAGATTTGGTCCGCGGCGATTTCCGGCGCTATTCATCGCGCTTACCTTGGTTCGTGCGCGTCCACGGCAAGCGCACGGAACCGAAAAAACGACCCAAGTCGCGCACTTTCGCACATCTGGCCATCTGCCATCTTTCCGCTCGCATAAATCATTCCCGAACACCAACGAAATTGTCGGCCTGGGGCACTAGGGGAATACCCTTTGCCTTCACAAGGCCTTCACCCCGCCACTGTAGAACACACGCAATTCCAGTAGTACTAGATAGTGAGAAACTACTACATCATGAAGTCCAGTGGTGGAACTCACTTCCAGACGAGGACTTGGATTCCTTTGAGCTCGACCCTTCATCGGAGGTTTTGTTTTTGAGAAATTTCAGCATAATCCTAGCCGCTCATTCGTTGCGCACTGCAGAAAACGACGATGTGATCATAACGCGGACGAGTACAAGCGACAAAAATGGCGAGAATTTGTGAAAAGAAGTGATATCAGCATTCTTTCGGCGCTATCGCAAAATACGGGGGCACTGTGGTGGTATTGCATTCAAAATCGCCTGATCTTCCCCACTGCATTCAATCGAGGTAGTCCTCGAAGGGCGCAACGAGAGGAAGGCTCAGGGCAGGGTCAACCTCACGTTGAACAATTCCATCAGAAAAATTATTTTTCGATCCTCCCTCCCCCCCCCCCACGCTGTTATTATAGTATTCAATTCTGAGACCAGCTGACACAACCATCCCCACCCACATTTCCTCCAAAACAGTCGCCCGAGCGAAGGGTATATATATCGAGAGTGAAACGGCAAATTTTTTCGTACCACCCACAAATCGTAAAGTTCCACACTATGATCCCCGTTGGTGTAGGCTTGACGCTGCCTCCGACCTTGCGAATACGACCCCCCCCTTTCGGATACGACCCTCCTCGTTGGACTTTGTCCAACGCACGGTTGACCCTGCTCCAGGGTGCTTGTGCAGGTTCCATTTTCCCCGATATTCCTGCCCTAGGTTTGGTCCTAGAGGATGCCCCCGTATC